ACCGAGCTGCCATTGCTGTTAATCAGTCTGGCTTCTGTCTTAGCACACACAGGTTCTCTGCAAAATGGGACTCTAAAGAAAAAGGGGCTATGGGGTTGGTTTGTAATTTTACCTCGTGGAGAGTGAGGGGGAAAGGGAGGTTTTTAAATGGTTTTATGTCACCCTTCGGGCTATTCCGATTAGCCCAGCTGCTCCTCAGCAGCTCGCCACGGCCGAAGCTGCAGAAACTGAGGAGCAGGCCCGCTCAGGGGGAGCACGATGCTCCGCGGCCGGACACAGCGGCCGCTCTCAGCCTGGGAATCTCACAGTAGGATGCAAAGGACCCTGGAGGTGCCTCGCAGGGCCCCTGGGCCCAGGGAGAGAGCGGTAGCTCTGCAGCTACGGGTTTGCAAAGCCGACAGCCCAGAAAACCTGCTGCTGGGGTTCCCATCCTCGCAGGAACTTCAAGTTTCAGACTTAGCTGGGGCCGCCTTTCAGAGCGATTCAGAAATTCAGAGCTCACTCACTACCCAAGCCCTACAGGACAAGCTTTCATAACGTACACAAATACGTAAGACTGTCAGTTCATAGGTGACACATAAAATCAGCACGGATGGGAAGCGCGATCGTAACTGCTTGTTTTTTAACTTGAATATCTTTCAATTGTCCTTCTCTAGTACCTTTTTCTTGCAGCATGAGAATCTGGAACCTTCTGGTTTGTTCTTCCTCAGATCATAACATCAGTTGTTATTAAAGGAGTTTGTAGCTTATTCTAATTTAGGTTTGGGGTTTTTGTTTAAGACTGTATGCAGACCGAGTTAACGTGAATGGCAGGTTTGTACTTGAGACACAGAGTCCACAGCTAGACACCCCCCCGAAGTCTAAAGGTCAGTTCTCCCCACCACACTTGTCTTACCACTGGGCCTTGGGCAAATGACCCCGCCTCACCTAGGGTGGTGGCAAGAACACTGGGGTGTGGCCTGGATTCACTCACAAGTGTCTATTAACAAAAAAAAATGCTGAATTCTAAAATGTGAAGGGCTTCCCGACTCCTGAGGAAACATGGTGAGACATGCTGGACAGGAGGCTTCTGTTCTAAATGTGATGTGTGCTCCCCAAACTATTAAATTTACAGCCTGCTTAGGTTTCAGTCGCCCAGCCTACCTCCAAGTCGAGGTCTCTTGAGCTGCGACTGGCGAGTGGGGTGGTTTTGGGTTGCAAAGGATACGAAGCCACTGCGGTACCTGGCTCCAGGCACAGAAAGCATCAGGTTTCTCTCATTTGTAATTTTGAAATCGAGCTTTCAGATCAAAATGCAGAGGCAGCCAAGCAACAATGGAGGAAGCCCCGTCAAGTAGAGTATTAAGTGATTACTGAACAATATTTTGACTTGGTGTTTCTCTGTATTATACATCAGAAATCTATTATGCTGTCCTTTAGCTGTAACTTAAAATTCACCGTGACAAACTTATCTCGGAGTCCAGTAAGGGCCTCGTGAATACGGCAGGTTCACAGGAAGGAGCCGTCGGGGGAAGCACCACACTCAGCGCGTCTGTAAGCACTTGGAGGCGGGTCCCACCATCTCTGTCTGCTCAATTGATGAAACTTTTGTGATAGCTTAGGAGCTAAACAAGTTATAAGAGTAAAGTGTTGTGAAGATGATGCTGGATGAAAGAATATCTGAAATTTTAATTGTTGTTACCCTGTTCTTCAGTTTTATTTAAATCACATGGTAAACATTCACTGATTAAGGAAATGCAAATTAAAATTTAACTCTACATTGGTAGATCCAAAATAAGATCTACTGACCAACAGACCCAGTAGGAGGTGGAGCCACATCGCCAACACATACACACAAGGAGTATTTTTGTGCTGCTTTAGAGATTCAGTAAGAATGGGAGAACAGGGAAGTTGAGCAGAAACCTTAAACATAAAAATGACTTAATAGTTCAAAATACTTTGAAAATCACCATCCTAACTCCTACCAGAAAAATCTCCAAATTGGGTGACTCTCCCAATAAAAAATTCAAGATGAAATCCTTCTCACCGAAGGAGTCTTACATTCGATTAAGTAATCCAGATGTTAATTTATTCATCCATTTTGCCAAATGTAGTTTACTTTACTTTATGAAACTGTGGTAAATCTTATCCATGCTAAGAAAATACATAAAATTGCTCATTAGAGAGCCAAGTTGAATGAATTAGATATAGTCTAACTTTTAAGTGCTTGTTAGTAGAAGTCGTTTGCATTGTTTTGCTTCCTAATTTAAATTTACTGGTGGCTCTGGAGACACGGTGATGCTCACGGCACACACACATTTCAACCACACACCAATGCACATACCGTCTGACCTCCGCTACCTTTAAGAAATAGTTTAAAACTCCTCCCAAACATAATAAACAAGTAATTCTAATTGAACTGAACAGATAATCTTGTAACGGCATGGAGGGAAATTTTTCTGTTCCCTGTACCTTGTAACACTAATCATGGAGTTCTTTTTAAAAAGCATAGTGTACATTCACCTCTTGGTTTTACCTTAGGTATATTTCAGTAGGAGTAATCCTGAAGAGTTAATACAAATTATCCAGCTAATGTAAATAGGAGGCTCCCTCTCTAACATTCATATGACCAGGTCACTTTCCTGCATAAATCCTTCCAAAGACTTTGTACCGCACTTAAAGGGAAACCCAAACCCCCACCAGGGCCACCCTGGCCCCTGCCTCCCCGTTCTTCCAGGCAGACAGGTTCCTGGAGCCCCCTCATCTTTCAAACTCACTCCCAATTCATGGTCCTTGCGTTGGCTGTCCCCTTTGCCTGGAACTTTCTCCAATCAGCTCTCGTCCGGCTCCTGCCTCTCATCCCTCGGGTGTAAGCAAAGCTGTCCACTCCTTAGGAACCCCCTTGACCACTCACCACATTATTTAATACATTCCTCAATCTACGTAAGTTTTATTTGTAATCTGCTTATCACCTGTCTCTTCCTTCTAGAGTGTAAGCTCCGTAACAGCAGGGGACTGGGCTTTATTTTCACTGCTGTATTCTCGCCACTGAATCAGCAGCCAGCACCCACTGTGTTGGAGAATGTTCGTTACGCTAGTGCATCGGTCAAGGGCCTGGACCTTGAAGTTGCATCCATCTGGGTTCAAATACCAGGTTTGCAAGTTACTAGCTCTAAAGCTTGAGTAGATTCACCTTTTATAAGAGCTTGATTTCTTAATAAAATATACTCATAGGGCAAGATAAATCCAAATTTGAGTTAACTGGGACTTGAGTTTCCTTAGCGCTCACACTCTTCCAGGCTCTACTTCATGCAGACTTTCTCTTAATTCTCAACATCAAACTTCAGATTCCTTATGGAGGAATTTGTGGAAAAAACAGAAAAATACAGAAGCCCCCAAACACTTCAGCTCATCATATAGTGATTTTCCCTCAGAGGCCCGAGAGTGCAGTAGCTAGGAGAGCGTAGGTAGGCTCTGTAGCCAGCGTGCCTGGGTTCGAATGCAGCTATGTTTACTGCTGGCCAGTTCCTTAAACTCCCATGTGTTTTCTCTGGAAAAACTGCATTTCCCTCTTGAGAAGTGATGATTAAGCAGCCAGGCCATGGAAAGCACTCAGCACCTTGGTGCCCAATTTACACTAAGCACACAATGACCACCACTTAGCACCAGGCTGCATTTAAAATATTTCTAACTTAGGTCAATTCAAGACCTAATGTCAAAAATTAATTCCATTAGGAGAAAGAAAAAAAAGCATTTCCCAACGTGGAAAATTGAATGTTTTAACAGGTGAATTCCAGAAAACCCAAAGCTGGCCGTGGACTAGCTACTCAGGGTTCCTCTGGCAAGAGCTAGCGATGCCTCTGCTTTGAAGACCATCGTTGCTCTCAGCATTTCCTTCTCACAGCGCCAGGCACATCATACGCTCTATTTACAGAAGGTTACAGGAAAACTTCCAAGACTATAAAGAATTTTAGAAAAAGACCCTTTTATGACTCATTTTATTAAACAGAAGTCTCCCTAAGTCTTATTTTAAGGCTTAAAAAAAAAACACAAAAAACCCTTTCAATTATTTAAATATTTAAATTCTCTGCACTTCACGCAGATCTAGTTTTATTTCCCATGTTCAAAGAATTCCGTTTCGGAGGATCTTCTCTGAAAGGCACTTTCCTCAGTGCACACCTCCCACTGGGTAACTTCCAGGCAAGAACGGTAACGAGGGAGAAACCACCACGGGTTCCCTGAGGTGGCGGCTTCACGTCGTTCCTTTTCCAGGTCATGATGGGCGTGTTTTCATCTTGGGATGTAAATTAAGCGAATCTCACTGTCTACAGGGACTGAGACGGCCGGTCCTGTAACATCGGGTGGGGATGGGCTGTGTGCGCGCATGGGGGAGGGCGTGGAGGGAGGCGACATTCGCAGGCCTGCGGACACCCCTCTTCTTTTTCACTGCTTGGAAACACAGCTTTGTGTTTGGTCAGGTGACATGAAAAGGTAAGAACAGTAGCTCTCAAATTGGACTTTACCTCAAATATCAGAGGTCACAGAGGGGTGCGCGGATCCGCCGCTCCCGAGTCTGTGCGCGCGTGTGCACTTGGCGTGCTTAAGCGGGTCCCTTTTCATTCCGCCTGGGTTTTCCGCCGTTCCTGGCATCAAGCACTGGTCCGCGGGACACCAGCGTGCCTTTGTGTCCCTTGCTGACACTCGGCATTGTGTTTTTCTACCCATTAACCAAGGATAAATGACCTAGATATTGTGCCTATTAAAGCTTCATTTTTCTCCTGCCCTTTTGTTCTGCAGTGTACCACATTATCAGGCGCTGCACACATTTTTAAGTATTCTCGGGCGCCGATGCCCTTTGGAGGGAGTAATAGGAGGTTTTTGTGTGTGGTTCTGCTGAGATATCTGGAGTGGAATTATGTGCAGGTAATTTAAGGTTTCTCTTGTCGTCTCGTCTGAAGACAATCCGTTTAGCGCACTACTAACAGCTAATCTAGTAGAATAGGATATATCAAGAAACTGTACAAAGGCCAGAATGCTGTATTTGCATCTATTGCGGATACAAAAAATAGAGTGAACACCAGTTCCCCTACACGCTACATTCTATAATTACATTTCTGCATATCATGGGTCACTTTTATTAAAAGCATCATTACTACAGTTGGCAGCAATTTACATTTTATCTTACATGATAGCAGTTTTTCAAGGAAAAAAAAAAATAAAAGGACATCACAACAAAGAAAAACAATACATTTACAAAGTCATGTCTGTAAACTTCAAGGCTAGTTTAGAGCTGAGGTAATGCTGTTTTAGCTTTGTGGCTAAAGTAACAAAGTCCTTTAATTTAAAAAAGGTACCTGATTCTCTATTCTCTCACTCTTTATTCATCTATTTAGTTTGTTTATACCAGTGCATTACAAGACCACGAGACAATGGAACTGTAGTTCTATCTGGCAAGAACCCTCCCAGTAGGTTAATTTCCAAAGGGACCCTTCACATTCAACAGCTGCCTTATTATTGCTGCGCCTCCGGACAGAGACGTTCACACTAACGTGGAGATTGTCAGAGTGTACGGTGTGTGTCTGTGCCAGTGTGGGAACCCCCTACCGTCAGAAAGGGAGACAAATGAGCAAGTGTGATATGTATGGTAAATTTCATCCTGACCTTCACAGCAAAGAAATTAAAATTAAAAAAATTAAATATATAACTTCATACTTCCTTTGAGCAGCGCTTCCTTCCATTAGTGCCACTCAGTTACAAATTGCTCTTTATTATAATACCAATGGTACCAAAAGAAGAGGGGAGAAAGCAGAGCATTATGTGAGTTTCCTTAAAAAGACATGATCACCTCTCAAATTTCATCTCTCCTAGGGATAATAAATAATGCACTGCACAATACTTAATGACCAAGATACCTTTTGACACACCTGTATAACATGACTTGGACTTTTTTTTTTCTTCTTTTTTTTTTTGCTACACTATGTTACAGAACAGCTTATAAAACTAGGTATGAACATTAACTGTGAGTGTAAACAGTAGGACTACCACTTGTCAAAAGTTTTAAACACTTCAACGGGAACTGGTACTGGTTACTCGTCGTTTTCATTGTTTTCTGCTTCGTCCGCCCCGTCCAGCGAGTCCAGCTCTTCGCCCTGTGCCATTTCGTCTTCTAGGAGGGAGGACTCGGCAGTCTTGTCCAGGTTCTCCTCGGCGTCGCTGCCCTCGAGGTTCTCCTCCTGGAAGGCGGCGCCCTCGGCCTTGTCGGGGGCCTTTTCCGCGCCGGAGCCCACGGCGTTCTGAAGTCCTGCGAGCGCGGGGAAGCCGGGCAGCGTCAATCCCCCCAGTCCCGGAGGTAGAAACATGGACGGGTAGAAGAGGCCCGGGGCCACGGTGGACAGGAGGAAAGGGTTGAAGGCCAGCGGGTTGGAGGGCAACCCGGCCGGGGCGCTAGCAGCACCAACGGAGCCGTTGGCGGAGTCGGCGGCCGAGGCGGCGTCCGCGCTCTTCTCGGAGTCCTTGCTCTCGTCTTCGTGCTCGTGGCCTTTCTCCTCGCCCTTGGGGGCGCCGTCCTCCGGCTCGCCCTGGCCGGCAGCAGTAGTGGCGTTTCCAGCAGCAGCGGACAGCGGGCTGTTGAGCAGCCCGCCCAGCCCGAACACGTTGGGCAGGCCCGCCATGCCCGGCAGCATGAGGGGCAGCACGGCAGCAGGGTTCTTGGCGTCGCCTCCGGCAGCGGCCGCTGTCGCCAGGCCCGGAGGGAAGCCCATGAGGCCCGCCAGCTGGAGGGACTGGAGGCTCTGGAGGTTCTGAAGGCTCGTGAGGTCCATGCCAGCAAACAGGCTGTTCACCAGCAGAGGGTTGATGCCCGACGTGGAGGCCGCGGCGGCCGCGGCCGCCGCCCGGGCGATCTCGCTCTTGGGCCTTCTTCCTCTCCGGCTCGCTCCCTCTCCCCTCACCACAGGTCCGGTGAGAAGCCGGTCAAACATCGACTCGGGAACAAAACCCTGAAGGGGCAGAGGGGCAGAGTGGCCATCAGAGCTGCCGAAGGCGGCTTACCGTCAGCGGGGCCTCTGCGCCGGCCTCAGAGCTGACGTTCCGAATGGAAATACCAAGCAAGTATTTCCGCTCTACAACTTAGGAAAGCAAAGCTTCTATATTTTAGCATCACATTAGCTCACTGGGTTGTGCTGAGGTGCATAAAAACTGTCAAAGGCTGCTCTGCCGGTGAGGTCACGGTAGAGCCAGAGGGCTGCTCAGCAACGAAAAGGAACAAACTTCCCACACACACATGCAACCACTTGGCTGAATCTCAATGTAAGTGAAACAAAAGGTTACACACTTTATGCTTCTGTTTATGACATCCTCAGAAAAACAGAACTCTAGGGACAGAGAACAGATCAGCAGTTGTCAGGGTGGGGGGTGGGAGGTGGTGAGGGAGCCACTGACACCAGGGGTTCCGGGGGGTGGGGCTGCCTGCATTCTGATCACGGTGGCAGTTCACGTGCTATGCATGTGGTAGGGTTGACATTACTAGACACCAAAAGAAAAATAAGCTGTTTTACTGTATACTTCAAAACAAACAAACAAACAAACAAAAAAGAATTAAGACATCATTAACAAATTAATCTTAAAAAAATTTAGGCAGAATTGTTGTATTTTAGTGATTTTTCAACCAGTGTGCTGGTTTTAAAATGTGGGCTACCTGACTATTTAGTAAGAGGCACTGACCTCTTTTCCCTTAGATTGTCAAATAAAAAAATGACAATAGCCAACACAACAACAGCCATCCAGTGTGAATGCCCTGTCTTGAACCATAAATATATAGGTCATATAATAGAATTGCATCTTATTGGGCACATCACATAATAAAGCTGTTTCTGATTGGTTAATTCTTGGTACCAGAAATCCTTGTATGCAAGTAAGGCACCTGAAGTTCTAAAAAGTCACTTTGGAGTAAAATAGGTAGGTAATCAATCAAAATTATACCTATTTCTTTTGTGAGATTGGCAAAAAACATATTTTTTGGTATGCCGAGGAATTTTAGGAATTATCAGTTTATGTGTGCCATGAGATGAAAAAGGTTGGAAATTGCTGGTTTTATTTAAAAAAATTTTTTATGTATCTTTATTGATTTCAGAGAAAGGAAGGGAGAGGGAAAAAAAGAGACAGAAACATCAATGACAAGAGTGATTGATTGGCTGCTTCCTGCACGCCCTCTATCGGGGGATCGAGCCTGAAGCCTGGGCATGTGCCCTGACCAGGAATTAAACCTTGATCTCCTGGATCAAAGGTCGATGCTCAACCGCTGAGCCACGCAGGCCGGCTGCTGGTTTATTTTAATATCAGAAATCACAGTTAATCTTAATACTCTAATCCACCATAAATTCCATTCCATAGGTAGACTGTTAACTAAGTTTACCTGGGGGGGGTGCTGCTCTGTAGGAAGTTCACCTCTGAGACTGTGAATGTGCATTTCAACACAATCCTCTTAAATCAGAGCTAATTAACACGCTTGGGATTAATGATGTATGGACACAAGACACACTGTATATATGATGTATGAAAATGATGTATTATGTCAATTCGCTTAGGCTATTCTTCTACATCTTTCTATTCGTGGCCAGTAGAAAATAAATAAAAATTCAGGAAAAGTTTTGTTTAGATACCTTCCTCGGCAGACATGCAGAGCGTGTACTTACAGACTGTTTAACGATATCAGTCCAGTCTGGAGCAACTGCAAACTCCGGATTTTCTTCCAGCCACCTGGGCAGATCCTTCATTGGAGGCGCCATAGCTCCACCCATCTGGGGAGAGGAGTGGGAAACATAAGTTCTCCCCTTCCCTGTACCATCTCTCTACATACACTTTTCATGCACATATCACATACATACATTCAGAAAGAAATGTGATCTTTTTTTAAAAAAATTAAAAATATCAGGATAAAACATTTCTTTCTGGGATAAGAAATCACAGAGATCAATTCCCCTTTCCAACAGCGTTTACCTTCTTTCCATTTCGTTTATTGACAACAGGCACCCTTTCCTCTCCTGTCAAAGTGTTTATATCCAATTTATTAGGGTTTCGACACCTATGTCGTTTCTGTTTCGGTTTCTGAAACGAGGAAAACAGCACATCTGCATTCTTCTGCAAAAAAAAAAAAGTACATATTTAGTAAAACTGTATTTAAAACTTATTTTTCCTGTATAAATCAAGTCATTTTCAATTATTATGGAAGTTTCAAGAATTATTTTAATTACTGGATATAATACTTTTCTTTGAAAGGAAAGTCCTATTCCGCCCCCCCCACCCCAGTACACATTAAGAAACTAAACAAACTCGTAAGCTGAGAATCTGCTTTGCCTTTTGTCTATCAATAACACCGCTAAAAGTCTTTTCTTCACATGTTTAACCACGTCATGCTATTTTTAAAGAAAACTTTCTCTAGTTCCTTCGTTAATTTCTATGCAGTGATGGGAATGAATGCAGAGATGCTATCCCATCTATGACACGACTGTACACGAGGCGAACCAACCAAGGGACAGGAGGACCTTTGTAGGAGGGGCCATTCTGAGGGGCAGAAATCAACTCAGGCTGAACTCAACAAAATGAAATGCAGAATCCTACCATAAGTGTTTAAAAATCAATCACGTAAGTATGGAAGTAAAAGATTTGCGTTGCTAGCTAGTAAACACTGTATATGACAAATCATCTGGAGACTGTTTAATCTAAGGCATAACTATTAGTTAGTTGCTTTAAAAAGAAGCTAATAAAGTCGTGGGCTGCATTAGCTGGTCAAATCTCTGCAAGTAACATCTTCATAGCATTCTGAGCGGGTCAGACCTGGGATGGAGACCAATTAAAGTGCATTCATGAGTGTTATCCCAATAATGAGACCACCTGACAACCATGCCAGGCAGGGAATACTGAAGAACTCATGTCTAGTTGGTGAGAGATGGAGAAGTAAGAAAATGCACAATAGGTGTCTTCAAACAGCTACAAGGCTGCCCTTCACGTGGGACAGACCTGAAGCTCGCTTTTCTAATGTAGAATTATACAATGCCAAAAACTGGGAAACATTCACGATGAGAAGGCATTCAAGCTAAAGGCAGAGAATGAAATGGATTGTCCTAGCAAGACTCCCCCCACTCCAAGCTCCGTGACACTTACTGGTACATAACTTGGCATATCGACAGTGTAAGCAGGGTGCAGCTTCAGCCATTCAACTAAGTCCTTATTTTTAGGAGCGTCATCCCCCACCAGCCTCGTCCCATCTTCGAGATTTATAACAGGGATCCGCGTGTCGGGGTCCAGCTGTCCAGGAGAAGGAATGTTCCTTGTTGGTGGGGTCTCTATATCTTCTTCAAAAGCTTTGGTCACCTCAGCATCCTCCTGCAGAAAGTTGACAAGGGTCTGAATTCTCACACGGAAAGAGATTCTGGGAACGTACTGCCCCAAGAAAAAGCTATCCCAGCGCAATGAATCTTTGCTCAAAAAGGGAAAAAAGTTACTTGAAACAATGCCAGTTTTGGAACAGCTTTTATATTAGAGGGTGAAACACTAACATCACTCTTTACACTGTAGAATTACTAATTAGGTAGAAAAATCACTGGGAATACAACATTGGCCGTGTAGTCTGACCTCATCTGCACAAAAGGCAGCCTCTCAATCTCTCTTGAAAAATCCACAGATAAAAATCATTTAAAAATTTTAAATTAAAGAAACGTTCCAAAAGTCAGTTTATACATAGCTTTCTGGCACTTTGTAAATAGTACAATTTTGTTGTGGTAGAATATTTTGTGTTAGGTGTATGTGGCAACACTGACAAGATCAACTTTAACTTAAGTCTAGACTCTCCCATCGTCCAGCCACTGGTCCTCAAACTGGTTTTTCAAGCTCCCGACATCTTTTATGTCAGCCCGTTTCTCAACTCCTCCTGCTCTGACTTCCCACCCATATTAACTGCAATATTCCTAAATGGTCTCCATGATCTAGTTCCATCCCACCCTTCTTTAATCCAACCTCCACACTGCTACACTCCAGTCAATTTTCTAAAATGCACTCTTTGTAGTTTAAAACCTTGTCATACTCTCCTGTTTTAAACTATTTTGATAACTGAATCCCCACCACCTTCAATATAAAATCCATTTTCCGGGCATGGCAATCAACGCCCTCCACAATTTGTACCCCACTTTGCCTCCAAGCTCACCTCTGCTGAACCTCGCCTGCTCACCAAATTCCCAGCCAACAGCTTTCAGTTCATCAACCATGACAGGCTCTCCCTGGCCTCAGGCCCTTTGCGCATGTTCTCCCCATCCCTCCTCCTTTAAAACGGCCAACTTCTATACAATCTTCTGAACTTAACTGAAGAATGACCACTTCTAGGGACCCTTCCTCATCTGCTTCTTCTCATATCTTCTTCCTTCCATTCCCATTCTTCCTTTGGGCTCACAAAGTAATCCTACCATAGCCCACAACTATGATGATTATTATTTATCTTAAACACTGAGCTGCCTAGTGCAAGCACCTGTCAGGCCTTCATTCTCACACGCCGGTGCATGGCACAGGCGCTGGGCCAACGCTCACAGTATTGCTGCACCCTGACTTTTCATGGCAGCACAAAATGATCTCCAGGTTGAGTGCAGACATAGCATGTAACCCTCCACAACACCAAAACAACAACAACAACAAAACATATATATATTTTTAAGTATATTCTCTAACATCTATTGGGAGTTCTGAGCTAAATGTGACTTTAGAAAAATAAAAATATCAATAAATTCTTAGGTACAACTTAAGATGTATGAAATGAATAAAGTGAGCCTTAAGTTTATAGGTGTTTAATTACAACAGGGAAATAGCACTGGTTGCAATGACTATAAATTTCTGTATGTGCCACGATTCAAATATTGAACACAAGAGTAAATGAAAAGAGGTGTGAGCTGCAGAAAACCTCCAACTTGTTGATGTGGACAAAGAAAGGATTTTCAGTGAACAAAACCTGTTAAAGTGTTAACAGGGTGGGTTTAAGCAGGAAGGTTAATCACTAGAGATACAACTTTGGGGAGCACACACCTAGAAACAGAATTTTATCTTCTGAAACAACCAGCCACAGATGATCCACTATGAGACATATGTTCACAAGATTCTAAAAGTAACCATATGCTCGACAAAAATGACCATTATTGCAACTGGAGCATTGATAATAAATTTTGAAAATTAACTTTAACCACCTGGATGCTTCTGTTTTACTCAGACCTCACCAGGAGGCAAATTCCAGTGAATGCTATTTTGCAACAACTAGATTTTAATTCAACCACGCCTTTTCCTACCCTTTTAAGTTATTAACTTTCTCTTGGTTGAAGAAATAGAAAATGGGCAAATAATAACAGGAATGGAATAGAACAAGAAAAAGAGTATTAAAACAAACAACTGCTCCCCTGTTTCAAATTGCAGTGTTTCCCAAACTGTCCCGCCTGCCCTGGGGAAGGGCCCAGGGTCCCTGGCAGCTCCCCATGCAGACAAGGAGGTCCAGGGCACCACTATTTGATTCAGGTTTCAATTCAACAGGCGGAACATGTGCAATATTAATCAGCCTTTAAAAAGGAGCTGCATGGAATTAGGCTCTTTGGAATAAAACCCTCTTCATTTTCAGGCAGCACATTTTTAGGTGGTGTGGTTGACACAGACTAGGGAAGGGAGTTTTGATTACACTGCACTTGTTTCCTTTAAATTGAAGAAAAAAAAGAAGTCAAAATCCATTGACACATACATTCCCTTCAAACCTAAATAAGCACAGATCCTTATGCAGTTGAGATTTTTTAAAATATCTAGTTATGGAGGTAGGGGAATTACAATCGCCATCTTGTATATGAACTTATACTTTAAGTCTGAAACTAAACATTTTTGATAATCTAATAAACACCAGGCCCCCAAAATATCAGTATTTGTAAGAGCAGAAGCTTCTTCCACCTCAAGAACTCAGAGATGGCAACTACAGGCCCCCAAGACCATGTTTCTGTTTGGGGCTGGTCTTCTGAGAGTAACCAGTGCCTCAGAGTCTTGGGAAGCATAAACCTCCAGCTACACCTGGTCGGGCTGAGTGATCTGCATCAATGCTCGACGCAACTGCAGCTCGGAACCATGACTCTGTTCACTGCAACTCTCTCTCTTTGGTGGAAGAAGGCAGCCTTAGGCCACATCACTGGGAGGCACACAGACCAGCGTCACCGGCAGCGAGGGACCTGGCTATCGGCTTGGGCACAGACCATGGAAGCGAGCTCTTGAACTTACTGCACTCAATGACGTCCGTTTGTGGCTCATGAAAAGCACATCGAGGCCCTCCACGTTTTTCCTCCTTCCCCGCCTCCTCTTCATGGGAGGCTCTCCGTCCACGAGGGAGCCGTTCAGCAGATGCCTCGTGGGTGTGCGTGACAGCCCTGCCTGCAGCAGCTCCATCTGAGTCTTAAAGGCATCGGACACCGGTGTCGAGACGTTAGGCAAGATAAACTTTGAAGTAAGAGATGAAAAATTTGAGGTAGAGCTTGTTGCCTCTCTTGAGGCCTTTGATAAATCGACAACTTTTTCTTGTCCATTTTCTGAGACCACCTGAGACTCCCGAAGCTGGGCGACCATCTCCATGAGGTTTCTCCGCTTGGCAGCTCTTTCGGCCTCGATTTCAATCTTCCGCCTCCTTCTCCTCCGCTGGCGAGGGACAGAGAGGTTGAGAGCATCTTCCTATTGAAAAATGCCAACCAAACAATGAGCGCCGACCATGTGCGACACAAGCTGGCTTTCAGAACGAAAGAACAAGCAGCTTAAGGACTTAGATATCCCTGGCTGTTCGACAGAGCTGGGGAAGCAGCAGCCGTGTTTCTCAGCAGGACCACTGGAACACAAGCTTCCAAAGTGAGAGGAGATTCAGGGCCAGCTGATCTTACAACTGCAAAGACAAACCGCTCTGACCTACCTTTGACACCTGGGGAGAGGTCGTGAGGTCCTCGCTCCCGCTGACGCTAGCCTGGCCGACCATGGAGAGCTCGGCAAAGCTCCTCTTCTGCAGGGGACTGTCCACGGTGGGTGGCGTGTAACCAGGGAGGAGGCCCTGGAAATCAAACATCTGGCGCCTATTGACCGGCCATTTGCCTTTCAACACCGCTTCACAGATACTGTCTAATCGGTTTATCATTACCCGATCCTGGAGGGCCAAGAAAAATCACATGAAATTGCAATAAAGACCTGGTGAAAATTACTAGATAAATATTCCTATCAAAATGATAACGAACATAAAAGGTTTGAAAGTCAATTGGTGGGCCCTGGCCTGTGTGGCTCAGTTGGTTGGGCACCCTCCCATGCACCAAAAGGCTGTCAGTTCAATTCCTGGCCAAGGCACATGCCCAGTTGTGGCCTTGATACCAAGTAGGGGTTGTGCAGAAAGCAGCCGATCTGTTTCTCTCACTGATGTTTCCCTCTCTCCTTCTCCTTTCTTTTCTCTCTAGAATCTTTTTTTTTTTTTAAGTCAATTGGTGGGCAAAATGTAAAAGAAAACCAAAAAACAAACAAGTAAACAAATTCCATACAAACTGTCTGGCTATAATAGAAGATCCTCGGGTGACTCCAATACAGAAAACCTGATATTCTGCAATTACGAACACAGAACCACATAAATTAGAAAACACTGCATGACTGCCACCTCTAAAATGTCCCCATATTTAAAAAAATAACTTTTATTCAAGCTGAAGAACTATTGGTGAAGGTCAGCAGATAACAAAAGAGCCCTGCATTTGGCTTCTGGAAGCTCCTGTGCTTCAGATCCACAGGCAGGATCACAGCCTGTCCCGGGAAGTGGGACATCATTAGCGTCACTATTAATAAAGTTCAGCATTATGAAATGGGCAACAACCTAGGAACACCTAATGAATGTCAATTTGCATTCCCCACCTATTATCACTCAAATTTCACTGAAGCGTGTACATTAAAAATTTCTAATTACAGCTCAGACCCAGTTTCCATAGATTAAACGTGCCTGCCTGCTACTACAGACTTGACTGATCTGGGCAACTCCCTTCTATACCTGATAAGGGAGATTAGCATAACAGGGGAAGTGAGAGGGCATATAGAGAAAAAGATATCTGTGATAGTACACTTTACAGTTAAAAATTTCACATGGTTTCTGATGCAACTAACAGTATGGAGTGCCAGCCTAGGGATGAGTCGACTGAAGCCATTTTTGTGTTGTTTGTTTTAAACCAGACAGGCTCTGTTACAGCAATTAGGATAATTATTTCCCCACCCTTAAAAACAGACCCTAATTATACAGATTTATTATAAAATTATGCTAGTCAGCCTAAGAAAGTAATTTCCACTTTGCTTTTGGTTATAGATAACTACATTTGGAATTACCGCATAATATATTGGACCGAATGGGTTAACAGTCCACCTCCTCCCGACTGAAGAAGAGTAGGTTTCCAAATATATGAAACTTGTCTTAAATCTGAAAGTCCTACTTCAGACTAAAAATAATTAAAACACAGGTTTAGAAGTCCACACATTTTCCCTTGTGCACTGTTGGTGGGATTGTAAACGGTGCAATCACTATAGAAAACAGTAAGGAGGTTCCTCAAAAAATAAATCTAGAACTACCATATGACCCAGCAATCCTGCTTCTGGGTACATATCCAGAAGAACTGAAAGCAAGATCTCAAAGAGACAGGAATGCACTCATGCTCACAGTAGCACTACAAGGAGGCATGAGGTATAAGGAACCCAAGTGTCCCAATGACAGATGAATGAAGAAAGAAAACACAGTGTATATGAACAATGGAATATTACCTAGCCCTGAAAAGGAAGGAAACCCTGTCACATGGATAAACCTGAGGACATTATGCTAAGTGAAATAAGTCAGTCACAAAAGGACAATATTGTATGATTCCACTTATATGAAGTACCTAAAGTAGTCAAATTCACCGAAACAAAAAGTGCAATAATGGTTGCCAGGGGGCAAGGGAAGGGGCTGTTTAATGGGTATATAGTTTCAGTCACATGAGATAAAAAAGTTCTGGAGATCTGCTTCACAACAATATGAATATACTTGAGAATACTGATCTATACACTTAAAACTGGTTAAGATCATAAATTTCATTTTATACATTTTTTTACCTGAATTAAAAAAAAATTAAGTTAAGTCCGTACATTTTATATCACCAACAGGTTAGTCTGTTGAAACAATAATCCGTATGTACTGGTAACACAATTACCACCCTAAAAACCTCAAGGAGCAAACAGTCCATATAAATTTATGGTTCTATTTCTTAATATCTTCCCTTTATGTCACCTTTCCTATCCTATTACAAAAGTATTCTGCAGACTTTTTTCTTTGGGCTTTTCCAGATCAGTCTTTAAAACATGAGAAATATCTACAGTCTTTGTACATTCTGTCAAAGTTTACCTTAAAATTATTTGAAAGATCAAGCTAGAACAGTTCCTTCCACCCCACACTCTCTTTTGGTCAACAAAACGAAACAAAACAACACAGCACAGGACCCACCCACCTTCGGCCAAAATGAGAAGGCAAATGTTCTCTCGTGGAGGAGCTGAGCTACCGAAGGATCTCCTTCCTCCATGTAGAACCCATCTCGGGTTTCGTCTCTAGCAGTGCTCATAGAAGCATTGCTCTCCTCGTCAAAATTCTTCCCTCTAGAGACGGCTCCTGCTGAGGAATGAGTGAATGTGCGTTACTCACAACCAGAACATCACTGGAAAAGAAGTTTAGGAAGGACACAATGAGAGGACTGAATGCCAATCCGCTCTGTTTTACTGAGTACCTAGAGCATGGCTGGCATGGTATCAGGCATTTCACAAATCCTGTCATTTAAAGCCTGTGACAGCCCTTTCGTGACATGGTTATTCCCATTTTACGGACGAAGAAGCGGAGTAGCTTAGGGAGGTTACATCACTAGTCGCCTGACATCGTGCAAGCGAATCTGAGAGGAGGCCGAGGGATGACCAAGGCTCTGACTCAAGAACCCATGTCCCCGCCCCCCACCCCCCGCGGGAAAAAGGGCTAACCTTTTAGGCCAAGTTCAAAGTTCCAGCTCCAGCAGTACAATATGCTCAATATTGTGATGTACAAAGAAAACTGGTTATTTTCAGATTCTACTCCTACCTTTTCCTTCTGAATTAAAACTGCATTAATGAGGCATCATTTGTTTAAATATATCTACCAATGTTTACTCAGCGCATGAATCTTGTCCCTCACAATTAACTGTTCAAATTAAAATCGCTTGGGCCCGGCAGGAGTGGCTCAGCTGGTTGGAACACCATACTATGCACCGAGAGGTTGCCGGTTTGATGCCTGGTCAGGGCACATACCTGGGTTGCAGATTCGATCTCCAGTCAGGGCACGGACAGAAGGCAACCAGTCAATGTTTCTCTCTCACACTGACGTCTGTCTGTCTGTCTCTCAATCCCCCTTCTCCCTTCCTCTCTCTCTCAGTATGTCCTTAGGTGATTAAAAAAATAAAATCACTTGGCATTTTTAATACACTGCTACTATAATGAATGAGTTAACCCCTATCCTTAACCCAGAAATTACGTGTCCGCAAACCTCTTCTAAGAGATTAACTTATTGGAAATATCATGCTTCTGTGCCTTATTAGAGCAGAACGTACATCGAAACCTAACCTAAAATTATCCCTTCACAGAAGGAAATGCACACTAATTACCCTTAAGAAACGAAAAAAAGAGCCCCTGTGGGTGAGTGACATGGCAAGCGGGCTCACTGCCGCGGCCGCACAGGAGGCGCCCGGGGGCAGGCGTTACCTTCGGGCTGGGAAGACTCTTCGGACTTATCATCGTCCTCCAGCTTCTCCTCTTCGTCTTCCTCGGAGCCCTTCTCGGAAATCGACTTGGGCCCCGTGTCGGCACCGGCCTCCACGCCTTTCAGCTCGCTCTTCACAGAGCTGGCCTCGGCCTCGCACTCCTGCTTACCGCCCTTCTCCCCGCCCTCGGCTTCCTCCTCCTCCTTCGCTGCAGGCTTCTCTTGGGCAGCTGCGTTTTCAGGCTCCTCCACTTTGCCTTCGGTTTGCCCCATCACCTTCTCGTCCTGAACGTGAGTGGATGAGATGACTGCAGGAGCCTGGCCAAATCCAACCGCCAGTGGGTTCAAGGTCGCTATGTTACCAGCCCCTCTGTTCTGAGCGAAGTTTTTGTGTGCATCCAAGAAGGACAGCTCAGGGTCGTTGAGGATGTGGTAGTCCGTCCGGCTGACCCCGTGTTTAGCAGCACCCACCAGCAAGTCTCGGTCATGCCTGCCACATTCCCACCACTCCGGCAAGTCCAGGCTCGGCTGGCAGAGCTTCAGCCTCTCCCCCAGCTGAGGGTGGTGAAGAACCTGCTCCCGTATTTTCCGGAGCAGTTCGATGCGGTAGAGAGTTCGAGAGGCGCGCTCTTCTGTGATTGGCTCGATCATGGAGAGGTCTGGTGGTTCTGAAAACGTGAAAATAACTGTGTTTACTTGCGAAAAACCCAAGTAGGCTTTAAATTGTTCGCTCTCTTATTTTTCATTTTATTGGCCTTTTAGTATATAGGACTTTTGTAACTAATGGACCTACCATCATCTGGCTTAGTGGGCATTCGACACACTCGCCTACACATGGCCACGAAACAGCTGAAGTATTTCTCCAGACTTTCATCAGACTTTTTGTCCAGTCTGGCAAAGGCTCGAAATTGGTTCCAATCAAACTGCTGTTTCACAGGGTCAAAAATAACCCCAAAAGTGGACACCACACGGTAAAAATCAGCCTCTTCTCTTCTTGTCCACCTAGTAGGAAAGAAGACATTAGCTTGAATTGTACTTGGGTAAAAAGGCTTCAAATGTATTATTTCTTTTCCTCTTTTGCCCCACACTTAATACATGGTACTTATTTTGGGGGTGGGGAGACGAACTGCTTTGACGGCCATTATCTCTCATGTGATTCCTGCCTCTTGCTGGCCTAGAAGAGCAGAGTGAAGAGGAACGTACCAGGAACTGGGTAAAACCCTGAAATAAACTCACTTTTGCCGCTTCTCAGATATTATAGCTTCCCTTTCCGCTTCCAGTGCTCTCACTTCCTCCCGAGGCCGCCGTCGCCGCCGGTCAGTCTTCATTAGGGCCTCTTGCCTCATCTGTTGCCTTTTATAGCTGCGCTGATAGGCAGTAATGAGCCGGCGCAGCCGGGTGGTCAAGGTTGAGGTGTTAGGCCAGTAAAGTTGGCCTAACTCAGCAGTACTCTCACTGTGCTTCCCTGGGGAAGTGGAAAAAGGAGTTTTGAAATGTGTAGCTTCGATCTTCTAACACATAGGATTTTCCACCAAAACAAAATGACTCACTAACATTCAAATGACAATGTGGGAAAGGGCATCAGAGTGCCCTCACTTTGAAAATATTAATAAAAAATAATACTAGTATAAAACCTATAAACCATTTCTTTTTAAAATCCTTATGGGGGAAAATTTTATTTCTTTTACATAAAGATACATACTTTGTCACAAACTACATTATAAGGGTGTTCTCTTGTAATATAATCATCTTGAGCTTAAAAACATCACATAATTGTTAGCTAATGATTTTACATTAGGCAAAAGGTCAGTATTTTCTAAAAACTGCCAACATTTCAGATACTTGGCAAATGCCCAACTCCCAAGAGCTACATTTCTTTCATTTTTTATATTTTTTTGGAGATATATTTCGAAAGAGGCTTAAAAAGTTTTCACGAACTGATATAAAACAAATGTATAAATTATCTTAATCCAAAAAATAGTCATTTTATCAAAGAAATTCAATGTAATGAAAAAACCAGCAATAAATAAGAATTAAAATTATTCCCAAGAGAGGGGCATTGGTCTACACAAGATAACGTTTTGAGGGAGCTGCCCACACAGCGCACGTGTGCTCTGCTGCCCAAGCTCTGGTGGAGCCATACCTGTGGCACGAATTTCCACAGATTCTTCCTTGTCTTCAGGAGGAGAATTGGCAAATTCCTTGAAAGCAAAGCGAGAAACTGAATTATTTTAAATTTGGGATTTCATTTTGCTTTATCTTCTAAAGAGAAAGCCATTATCTATAAAGTTTAACAAGTCTTATATGGGCATATAACATCTGACTGGTGCTGTAAAAATCAATACACTCAAGCTCTTACATCTAGTTCATCCTTGAACGGTGTTCTAGTTGGTTTATATTCCGGGTCTTCATCTTCTCTATCAAATTCTCCCCTATATAAAAAATTTAAAAATGTTTAAATCACACCGATAGGAAGAGACGGAAGAGGACTGCCTAATGCAACATTTAATTCTGGGTTCAACATCAAAAGCCATTCTCTCAGTATTTAAAACATGCGGCCGTGGAGGGAGGGGGACTGTGGGAGGACTGGGGGTGAGAATGGGGGTGTCTGTCATCACTTGGAAAAGATGAGTTTCAGATTACCTAGATACTATATCATGTTTAAATAATCACGATGATATGTATGCACACTATATTGGAAAATGCCACTTTGTTCAAATCAGACACAATATAGTGCACCGTGCAGTGGAGGAACTGAGCCCTGCCAATAGATGCAACACTGATGTAAAGTTTATTAAAATTTTAAAATGTCCTCCTTACCCGTCACCACCATCTGCTAGCATGTCTGTTCCTCTCTGCTCAGCAGCAATGGCCTTGGCATCAGGCATACCAACTCGTTCCAGGAAGCACAGCGCGGGGTCAGCTCGCATGGAATTGTACTTCTCGTAGCCTGTGCCATCCCCGCCAGCCCAGAGGACACACACAGAGACAATGAGAGGCCCGTTACTGACAGAACACAGCGCTGCCACAACACATAGGCTCCGTTTCTCAACTGAGGTGATCATTTATGTTGTATGTAAAAGAACCTTGTTTTAGCAGAGCGTTCTATGGACTGCTCAATTCCAGGGCAGATTTTGGGGGCCAAGTTATATTCCAGGGACGTTATCAGAATGACCACAAATACTAAGAGAAAAACAGGTTCACCATAACTGCAAGGTGCCTGGGAAGATATCTGACCCTATTTTCCCCAAGATCTAACTTTGCTTGACATTTAAAAGACTTCATAATGCTCCTCTCCGACCTCCACAGAGGGACTCCAAGACCACCCTGTCCTGCTGGTGAGCAGCCTCAGCTCTGCAGAAACTTCCACCGCTAGCTGAAAACCCCCGTCCACGTCAGGCCAGCGAACCTGTCTTATCAGGTTTAGGATGATGCATGTCAGTAAGATGACACTGTTCCCTCTATGGCTTTCAAACTGCAATTTGCTTTTTGACTGCCCAAGCTGACTAGATGGGAAATGGCAGATCCCAACAGTGCAGTGCGGGGAAAATGATTTTAAGGCTGAGCTCACAAAACGTCGCTGCAGTACGTAGGCAGAACAGCACAATTCAATTAGGATGTGTACTACAACACACCGCTCCTAACTGCTGTAGAGCCGCAAGCCAAACTATAATCATGAAAGGTTTTATAAGCCATCATTCTCCCCTTTAGTCAGGCCGGGCTGCTGAGGCTACCTCGGCGACCTCCAGAGAATTGGGATTATAATCAGGAATCGCTCACTGTATATATCATGCCAGGTCTGCATCCCCAGCCTTTCAAAGTTAACAAGGCTGCATCCCACTCAGGGGAGCCGGGAGTTCTCAGCACTGACATTTGTGAAATATTGCTTGGAACAAAGCCCAGGAGGCACTTGTACAGATTAATAGCAGAGGTTAAGCCCACCGTCCACTTTGACACGGATTGGCAGAGTTAGCAAGGGGAGCCGTGCTGGAAGCAAAGTTTAGGGAGAGCTATAGGACAGTTTGGCTATTCTTAAAACAAATATGTTTTTGGTTTTATTTACAGCCAAGAAAGAAATGTTTTCTTCTCAAATACTCAACAAACATTCAAAAACAGCATCTGATATTTACAGTTCGTATTAGATTTTTAGTGTAGGAAAATGGCAGATGCCAAGAGTCCTTTGGAACTATCCTTGTTAATATTATGACTTTGGAAAAGAGTATGCAAAGAGCTCTAAGTAAAGAAAAGGCCACACGGTTGAAATGTGGTCGAACGGAAACATCACTTACCGTGTTTGAACACCCCAATTAGGAGGGACTTATCCGCTTCCTTATCCCACCAATCTGCGGGGACCTCGGCGTGGAAAGGCTCAGGTATCCACACATCAGCTTCACTATAAAGACAACCATTTGTGTGATATTTAAAACAAATACCAGTATTAAAAAAAAAAAAATCCAAGTAATGACCATGTTACACGCCCTCATGTGCCCCCTTCCCACAATAAGCACCTGGGCGTCACGGAGAAGAACGAGCCAAGGTTAAAACAAAGGGCGTAAGTCAGCCGCTTTCCACCATGACCAGAAATGAACTTTATCACCAGTGTCCCATTTTAAAGGTCATCTCAGAACACCTGTAATTTAGTTCATACCTCTTTATATGAGCGCACACGCACACACACACACAAACAGGCTCTCCCCGATTCTCATCACTTCCCCAAGCTCATAGGACCAACACTGCATTCAAGATGCAGGAGAGGAGGTGTGCGTCTCATGGTTTACGAAGGTTCTGAAACACGATCCATGATGTTTTCCGACTGCCCGATTATTGCAGGGAGGCAGGGAACCCATGTGCGCTTGCACTAACCTTGAGTCAGCACCCTCTAAGATCTTATCTGCCTGGTCTCCTATAACTTCTTGTCTTAGGTAGTACAGCATGCGGACACGCAGCAGGACCCTGGAGAGGAAGACAGAGGGGGGAAAAAGTTCTTAACTTCAGGACTGTTTGCCAACAGTGGCTTTTGGCAGCTGCTGCTGTTCATCCATCATCCTGCCAAGGCTGATTAGCCATGCTGTATGGTAGGCTTGAAGCGTGACAGATGGTGGCACATAATCACCTCTGTGTGGTGCTTTCTGCTGGCTTCCAACAGGCCTGCCTGGCAACCGCTCACACTGCACAGAGAGGGACCGAGCTCAGCCCAGCCCAGGCGCACTTCATTTAGTTCTACCTAGTGCAGCTTGTGAAGTTTAGACACGTACCCTACCATTGCCTCTGAAGTATTGAAGCAAGTTTGTAAACAACTGAGCAGATGGCTTTCAGTAACTGTTCTGCTTCATTATCTCATAAAATTTCCTCAGCTGCTGCCTTAATGCCATTTTTGGAAGCACATCAGAAGTTGTAGGAATACACGCAATATAAAATCTGGTTTTACTACCTTACAATAAACCCTCAATATGGAATGTCAGGTTTTTCAGATTATAGAACTTTGCTTCCGAGAAAGGAAGATGGCAGTTGGGGTGGGTCTTCATCTTCTCCCTGAAGGAATATTCAACGTTTTTTATTCCTTCTAGTTTATATTACCTGGAAGCCTAAGTTGTAGATTAAAAAATAATAAAACATTACTAAGGTGATTAAAATACGTCTACTTCACTGAAGCTATTAGTCATTTTCAAGGAATTATGTGTTCAAAAACCCTTGGAATTCTAGGAACCAGATTTTCAATCTCACTTGGATTTCCTCAATGGCTGTAAACATAAGTCTTTCAATAAAGCCCACCTGGTAAAGCCCCAAGGCCTCTGTCTGCTCCAAGTCTAGCATCTCCTGCTGGACAGCCCTGGTGTGCAGTCAGGATGGATATTGGAGACTACACCTCCTTGCCATGAGTAAATGACAACACCAAGTGCTACTTCCTCAGCTGGGAAATCCCAGCATACACTTTAAAACCAACATTTCACATATACCAGCTCATTTCATCTACACAACGACACTATGACAGAATGGGGCAACTTAGAATTTCTACAATTTCCATTTTACAAACGTGAAAATTGAGACTAATAGAACACAAGTAGCACAGCTAAGGTCAGTCACTTGAGCACGGACCACTCAGAATCAGGCCTTCTGACTACCACTTCACACTGTCTCTTGGGATGTGGGAATTGTCCTTGAAACTATTACATGGTAACTAAGGGCAGCTTCACCAAAACATACTACTCCTGATCGGACGAGAGTAGGCACACCTTCCTCCACCAGGAGTCTGCTCCAGGCCAACGTGGGCTCAGGTGGGCAAAGTGTGAGGCTGTAAACGTCTGAATACACTTCAAGATAAACCACCACTCTGGGTAACACTTTTCTTTCTTTCTTCCTTTCTTTTGATAAGATTAAAAACTGGCTGTGCCACGACAAGCCATCAGAAGAAAAGACAGTGCGGGCCTCTGTGGCACACCTTGCCTTCTCTGGTTAGAGGGCTTGCAGGCCAGCTCCTCCGAGAACTTACAGAGGATGTTCAGACATGGTAGCTCCAAAGGAAATACCCTCCACCTTAGGCTGGATTCTCTTTTATTCACCAGAACTTGATATAGTGGCAGCAATCCTGCCAGTTTCTCTTTCTTTTGGTAGGAGACAGAGTTTTCTAGGTCGGGGGGAATTTCAGTTACGTGGAGGCTTTTGTGTCATCCTTTTTCTGGAGGAAAAAATTCAAACCAGCAAAACCGGCAAGCTCAGTGCCCTTGTGAAAGCCACGGTAGGTACTGGCAGGGTAGTGAGGTGCGCGGGAGGTGGCCTCTGACCTGAAGTTCACACCTGGTAAGTCAGACAAGAGAGGATGGTCCCCAGACCTCATTTCCATTTCATTGGCTGTCTTATCCCATGTGACTGTTCTCCGGACCAGTACCCAGTCTGGGACCACACATGGCAGTAAACTGTCCTGTCCACTTTGTCTCTTTTAACCCGAGACAGTTCCTCTGTCTTTGTCTTCTTGAAGAGAACTGGCCAGGTCTTTTCTAGGAGATTCTCAATCTGAGCCTCATTTTCTCTTACCAGTCCTAACACTTCCTCACTTGAGCTCCTGAGGTCTTAGGAGTGATTGGGAAGGACGAAGGGACTATTTGCTCATCCCACGGAGCGGATGGGAAGCAATGCCAGTCTTGAGGCCAAGGGGAAAGATGTGAAGAACGTACTCTATGCAAGCCTGTTTCTGACATTAGAAAGGGAAATTAAAAACCACTGCCGCCACACTGGGCCCAAGGCTGGAGCCACCATTCCCACGGCTGACCCCTTCACTTACATCTGAATCCAGAACTCAAGAGGCTACTGACCCAAAGTTCACATAAACTACAAAGAATCAGAAGTTTCAGAACAGCTATCAGCGGGGCAGGACTTCAGGGGAAACTATCATGCTACAGTAATAACAAAACGGTTCCTGAGGCACCAAAATGGTTTGAGGTAATGGTTTTGAAGACTTAAAAAGAAAAATATTTGTCAGTCAAAAGTCCAAAGATAGCGATCCAAGGTAGGCCCTGAAAGCACTTTCATTTAAAAAAGGGGTGAGAGCCATCAGTCAATGCAACCTGGGGTAGCAGGTATGCTCCAGGAATTGTTTCATGTGGGGATGGAGACAACCCCGAGGAGGTGACGGCGTCTGAGGTGGTGGTGGTGGGGGGGGGCCACGAGCAAGGGTGCGCCTCATCTGGTCTGGGCCTCCCATCCGGCCCTGCCCCTGAACTAGCTGAGGGACCTTAAGTACCCGAGTCTCGATTTCCTTGTCAGAGAAATAGGATAAAACAGTACTTCCCGCCTTAGACAACTCAAACACAAGTCCACGTGAAGTATGTGGCATGCTGAAGCAGGATGTGCTCAGACTTTGGTTGCTAACTTTAAAGAGCGATACACATACATTTCTTTATACCCTGCCTCATCAGACTGAGATCTGTTGCAGGCTCTGTTTGACTAGCATGGAAAGGGAATCTCAGAGAGGCTGAGGCACTTGCCCAGGTAGCACAAGGCCAGGAAGTGGTAACGCTGCTCAGCAGCAGTGTGGCTTGGACTGCTGGCAGTGAGTAAGGCATGCCCAGAGCAAGGAAGGAATCAACATATGTAGATGTTGGTTTAAGAGGTAGACAGCTAGCAGAGCTCCAAGCAATGAAATAAACGTAGATTCAATATCGTTCAATTGTATATAATCAATTCTGGACATAAAGGTAAGGAATATGAGTCTCAGCTCATAAGGTTAGCAAAACAAGACCAAACAACTGAGGTATTATTAAATGAAAATTCCCCAGTCCTTCCACTGACAGCCGTCAGTTGAGGATGGGATCATACAAAGCTAACCATAATTCCCTGACATACACTGGTTAAAACTTAGTCATCCACAGGTACACCTGAAACTAATACAAAGTAATATTTAACGAAAACTGCAATTGAAAAATTAAAAAAGAAAATTAAAAAACTTAGCTATCCGCAATGTCATACAGCACTATTCACAACAGCCAAAAGGTGTCTGTGAACCCAAGTGTCCATTGACAGATAAATAAATGAATGAAATGTGGTCTATCCACACAATGGAGTATCATTCAGCCATTAAAAGGCATAAAATTCTGGTACAAGCTACCACATGGATCAACCCTGAAAATACTATGCTACGTGAAATAAGCTGGACACAGAAAGACAAATGCTGTATGTCCCACTTCTGAGGTGCCTAGAATAGGCAACTTCATAGAGAATGGTGGTTGCCAGGGGTTTGGGGCTGCGGAGGAGGGGAAGGCGAGTTACTGTTTAATGCTACAGAGTTCATACTGGGGTGAGTGGAAAGGTTCTGGGAATAGAGAGTGGTGAGGAGTACACAGTATTTCGAATGTAATTAATCCCAATGAACTATATACCTACAAATGGTTAAAACCGTACATTTTTATAATTGCGTTATACATCTTTATCACAATTTTTTAAAAATCAGTCATCCAAAGGTATGCTGTGATATGATGTGGCATCACGTGTGAAGAAAACCAGTAAGGCTGTGCAAAGACAGTAACTACAGCTTAACAGCCTTTACACACACATGCACATATATACACACATAAATGTATATACACATACACACACACACACACACACACACACACACACACACACACACAGGAACAAGCTGAGCTCTCCGCCTGCCCCTGGAAAGCCTACTTGTTGCAGTGGTGCTTCAGGTGCTTCCTGTAGCTGTCCTCCTGGAACAGGGCGTCAGGGTTGCAGCCGGCCAGCCAGTCGGCATCCTGCACCACCGGGTGTGCGCTCTGGGCTTTCACCTTCTTTCCCTTTCTCCCCCTCGGCACTGGGGCTGATAAACCTAGAATCATAATGGCGACGATAATTATAATAATTATTACTGTAATAATAATAGAAGCTTTCTACCATCCCAATTTTAGCGTCAGAGCCAGATGCTGACTTTCAAGGCAGGGAAACGCGGGCCCCAGCGGCTCTGTGACCCTGCGGCGCAAAGACGACCCACCTGAATGATTGACCAAGGCGCGGGTCTGGCCGTCAGCCGTGGGCGTGATCAGGTCCCAGATAAAGCTTTTGATGTTCTCGTCTCCCTTGTAATGGTTGAGACAGTACACGAGGATCGTTCTGCAGATGGTTTCCACATCTTGCTCCGTGAGCTGACGTTTGTAACGTCCGTGGGAAAGGATGTCCGTCCACCGTCCCCAACTGCAAAGCAAGCACTCGGCATGCACGTGGCGCCTTTGGTTCAGGTCTGGGGCTTATTTTCAGTCAGGGAGCAGTGTTAGTAAATCTTGGGTCAAAACTAGCGGTATTTGGAACCTCTCCTCCATGTGGGGTCTCTGACTTTCATGTACATGGGTTTCTCATACAAAAGGCAGACATTAAATGTGGTTATTTTCTCTTGCTAAACAACAACAAAAAACCTAGCAATATTTTATGTCAGGTAAAAGGAAAGCCACCCAGGGCCAACAGTTAAAGACTCCCCTCACAGCGTGGGCTGTAGGTCACTGTTCCTCAGTCCAGGAGGGGGACTGTCACTGAAGCATCGCCTACGGAGCTGACACAGGCTCTCCCACTCAGATCCAGACTGGCAGCAACTCCGAGGGTGTGAAAGCCAGCCAGGAGCTGGACATTTTACACGCTCCTTCACTCTGTCATGGTTTGCATGCTTTGATGGTGACCAACCATTTGAAATGAATGGGGACTCAAGGTGGGCGTGACAGCCCCCAAGTCAAGGATGCAGTGCTGAGAAGTGTGGTTTCATCAACCCACCTCAAAGGGGTGTCATGATAATTAATGAAAGACTGTGAACAGGTTCAAGTTTCCTTTATGAAGAGAGAACGCTAACTCCAAGTACAAGAGCATGCACAGGAAAAACGTTCGGCCGGCTCTCAGGTCCTCATGTAAAATGGGTGGGAGAAGGGGCTGTGGCTAGGACCAAATAGACAGCACACTGCACAGCCTGAACCACCTATTCAGTTACAATCGCGGTTTAACACAGTGCTGTGCTCTCTCTCCTGGGTTCTGTGGACAGAGCCCCCAGGGCTGTCCCAGGATAGGAATGAGCCTCCACTGCCTTCCCGACTGAGCATGGTGCCGGCTGGTGGGGAGTCTTAGCTGAGAAGCACAGTGCACGCCCTGCCTTTTGTCCTGACCTGGTCCTCCCTGGCTTCCACGAACCTCAAATTGCAAGGCTGGCCCTCACCTCTAGGCCTTTGGACACACTGCCCTCTCTGCCCAAAACTCCCTCTTACCCTGGCTAGTTCATGATGTCCATCAATTCACAGACTACACACATCACCTTCTGTGATTCCTCCTTTTATTCCCCTGTGATTCCTCCTTTTATTCCCCTGAGCCCCGGAGGTAGAAAGAGAACACCTGAACTGTGTCTTAAAGGAGAGGAGACATGCTTCTATGCTCCATTTGCATAGAGCTTCCTGGCCAAGGCATTATCACCGTTTACTGCTTTCTACTGTTCACCTGCCTGCCTTGAGGCGGGGCTGCGACTGTCCTGCTCACAGCTGTGACCCTGGTGCCTGAGAGTATCCTATCACAGTGCCCAGAACATAATAGGTGTTCAATACATAGTGATGCCTGTGGAAGGAGGGAAGGGCTTTACTAAAATGCAGTATGCCCTAAGCATACTTCCTAGCTTCAAGAGTTATGAATATGTTCCATTTCTGAGGTTATCAGAAAATTCTCAACTTTGATCATTAGGCTGAAACATGGGAGCAGGTAAAAGCAGCAAAGGCTTGGGTGGGGGGAGTCTCTCCACCATATGAGGACAGACATATTACTTGTCAAGCTTGCACAAGTAATAGTAGAGGGGACCCAGCGACCAGACATAGAATGGGCTTCAGTTGAACTTCATTTATTCCACAATCAGTGTCTGAGCGCTGTGTCTGCTGGCACTGCGCTCTGCCTGAGGACACAGAGAAAGAGCCCCTGTCCTCAAGGAGCTCCTAGCTGGGTCTCTAGCAGAAGAAGCCAACCATGTAAAGTCATGGAACAACATGCTGAGGGTGGTGGAAAATGCAGACCAGACTTTCTGGTGCAGGGTGCCAAGGTGACACCTGCCCTGGACGTGAAGGACAGGAGAGGTTGGGCAGATCAAGCTGGAAGGGAGGGAAGCCCTAGGCAGTGGGAAGGGCTAGTGGAAAGAGAGAGATGAGACAGAGCACGGCACATTGAAGGAGACAAGAGGTCTGTCCTAGCAGAAATCTGGACTGCCCATGGGAACAGTCAATAAGATGGACAAAGGCCAGGACAGGGCCCTGCTACATTAAACAGAATGTTTATATTTATTCTGAAACTAACAATGACCCACTGGAAAAAAATTATCAAAGGATATCTATTATCAGATTTATAGAAATGTTGTTTTGGTGGCAGTTTTTTATTTGAATGCCTCCAGTCCCCAAATATGCTAGAGATATCTTATTTACAGATTCAGATATTTACTGAGCATCTTGACCTTCAAAGCACTGTGTGGGGTGCCCCAGAGACTCAGAGGTGACACATTCAGAGATTGAAATGACCATCCACTGGAAGAGCTTTACAAGTAAGGTATTTGCCTTTAATAAGTTTTTACAAGAGAAAAGTATTAAAAGATTACTATAGTCATAAATTTCATGTGAAGGTAAAAGAGAGAAGATTTTGTAATTCTGAGACTGAGTTATTAATAAACAACAAGTAAATCTAGATCTGACATAATTCTTAGGGGCAAACTTGTGCTCCTTCAAATCCATGAGGGTCTGAACAACTCTGAGCACTTTAATCAGCGACCCAGGCCCCACCGTAGTTGCTGCAGAGTTCGCCCAACTATGGGGAACCAGAGAAATCCAAACACAAATATTGTTTTTCTCTGTCAACTGGAATTCTAACTATTTTAAAAACAAAGTTCCATTTCTCACGAGTCCAACTTACCCGTAGACGAGCAAATTCTTCTCCACTCTAAAGCACTCACTCCGTGCGTAGCCCTGCGACCTGTCCTGTGGCCGCCGGGGCTTCACACAAGGCTTCTCTTCAGAATCGCTTTCCAAGTCTGAGAACTCCATCAGCTCGTCTTCCTTCACGGCACTGTACAGCCTGGTTTGCTTCCTCACTCTTGGAGTGTCAATGACCAGGTTGTTCTAAAACAGACAGCAGATATACTTGAAACATCTATAAAAGCAACCTTGGGTTAGATCAGATAGGGTTTGAAGGGAACCTCTCACTCACCCTCCCATTTAAGGCATCAATATCCAATTCAGCCTTCTTAGCCCACTTTTGCCAGAAATTTGGATCATCCAGGGAAATATCTGTCCTATTTCCAGACGCAACAAAACTGGCCTAAAGGGGGGGAAAAAATACACATTACTTTGAGATTCTTTCTTCAGAGGTAAAATGCAGAGTAGCTTTCATTTTTTCATCCAGTCAAACATGTATGCATTCCCCCACTGTGTGCCAGGATGAAGACCGTCCCTTAGGTAGCTCACGGGCCAGGGGTTGAGGCAGATCAGGAAGCAAAAGATGACCACACAGCACAATAATCAATAGGTAGCAAAGGTATGTACAGGTGCAACTGATACACAGAGGAAGGCCCTAACCAGGTGAGGGTGAGGGTGGGGGTACAGGGAGGGCACTTCTGGGAAGAGAGAACAGGCTCTCAAGGAAACAATGCCTGGAGCAGACTGTTAAAAGCTCAAAGCACCGGAAAGCATGTGCAAAGGCACAGTGGAGAAGATAGGGGACGTGTCCTGTGGCCAGGGTAAGGGTAATCAGGAAGAGTAGCCAGACGTCAAGCTGGTGAGGCAGGCAGCAGGTCAGGCAGGGCTTGTGTGTCCTGTAACAGAGTCCGAACTCTATCCCGAGGAAGCGGCGCTCTCCGAAACTGGGAATATCAAGATGGGGACCATCATGTGCAAAGGCACAGCTGTCTTGGAGGGTAGGATGGGGTAGAACAGGCTACTATAGTTTAGGGAGGAAACAATGAAGACTGAAAACAGCTATAGCAGAAACAGACACAGGTTCTTTAAAAGGTAAAATTGAGGGAGAATCTAGGTAAATGTGAAGTGTGGAAGAAAGAAGCCAGGAAAGACTGCAGCATCCAACTTTGGCATCTGAACGGTGTCACTCAGGTGAACAAACGGGTGTGTGTGCGCTCGAGCATGTGCATCCACGCGCACACAGGGTGGAGGTACAGGGTCATGGATTTGGTTTTGCACGTCCTGAATGTGAAGTGTGTGTGAGGACCAAGGAAAGAACCTGAGAAGAGGCAGAGACATGAGGGAGACATGCTGGGTCACAGAGCCCAGAGGAGGAGTGGCCGGGACAACAGGATGTCCGCACGCAAAAGGAGGGAGGTGGGCCCTGTCTTACATCACCACACACGAAAGCTCACTCAGAAGGGTTACAGATCTGAATGTAAGAGTGAAAACTACAAAACTCTGAGAAGATGACAAATCTTCGCAACCTCAGGTTAGACAATGCAGAAGCACAAACAATAAAAGAAAAGAAAACAAGGGGTAAACCAACCAGGCTTCATTAAAACTAACCACCATTGAGGAAAGACTAGAAGAAATATTTGCAAACTGTATTATCTGATGAGGAACTTTTATCCAGGATATATAAAGGATTCCTAAACTTCAATAATAAAAAGACAACTCAAAAGGTGAACAAAGAATTAGAATAGACATTTCTCCAAAGATGATACACAAGGGCCACAAAGGACAGGTGCTCCGTGGCATCAGAGAAATGCAGACCTAACCCTAGCGGCTCTCACTTCACACTCACTAATATGACTACAATCAAAACGTCAAGACAATAAAAAGTGTTGCTGAGGATGTGGAGAAGCTGGGACCCTAAAAAACACTGCCAGTGGGAAAAAGCAAAGGGTACATTCACTTTAGAAAACAGCCTGGCAGTTCCTCAAGGGTTAAACATGGAGCTAACACATGACCCAGCAACTCCATTCCTGGTATATATGCAAGAGAAATGAAAACGTGTCCACACAAAAACTTGTAGGCAAATGCTCATAACAACATTATTCATAATAACCAAAAGTTCCACTATCAACTAGTGAATAAATAAACACCACCAATGTCCATTGTCAACTGGTAAACGAGGTATAGATGGAACACAGCTCAGCAATAAAAAGGAGGTGCTGGCCTGTGCTACAGGGTGGATGAACCTCGAGCACAAGTGAGTGAGGCCTGACACAAAAGACATGTTGAACAATACAATGTATATGAAATGTGCAGAGCAGACAAACCTATGGAGATAGAAAATAGATTAGTGGGACACACATGCATGCACACACACAAGACAGGAATGACTGTTAATGCGCATGAGAATCTTTTTTGGAGTGCTAGAAATAGTCTAAACTTTTGATGTGGTGACAGTTACACAAGTCTGTAAATATGTTAAAAACACTGAACTGTACACGTAAAGTAGGTGAATTTTACGGTAAGTAAATGACATTTCAGTAAAGCTATTAAAAATAAAAGTGCAGACTGGGGCCCGGGTGTGGATGGGTGGATCAATACCCACGTGAAGCCTAAGAAGAGGCTCTTGGTGGAGTGGCTCCAAGTGGTGGCCTTTGCCAGAGGCGGGCTGGTGAAGAGGTGGGGGAGGCTGCAAGCTGGAAATTGAAAAATACGTAGAAAGGAAGGCAGCGGAGACAACTGGTGTAAATAATGCTCGTGTGGATGTCAGCTATGAAAGAAGAGCTATGGAATTGAAGCTGGAGGGAAACCAGGAGCGATGTGATCCTTCCTAGAGGCTGTGTCAGGAATGGGGATCTCAAGAAGTGGAGAGGGCGGGGTGAAGGACATAGGTAAAGCATTAGCCTGGGAGCCGGGAAGCAGATATGAAGACGTGGTGAGTGTAGCCACTGGTGCCATATAAATAGAACAGAGCCCCAAACACAAACAAAGAATGTTTTATGCATGAAGGGCTCCACGGGGAGTTAATTAATTTCTTAATTCGGACTAGAAAGCAAACGTTCACAAGGCGCTGTGCATGCGCCCTATCAAGCTTTTCTGGAAAACCTGCCTCCTCGGATCTATTCGCACCTTAGCGAACGTGGAACCCTTCCCTTCAGACTCAATGGTGATGGTGTGGGTTCGCCGGAGGAGAATCTGGTCGATGTCTTCTTCACAGAATTTAGACCCTTCATCCCCCTCGTCCATGAGTGCACCATAGGCCCCTTTTCGCAGAAGATCCTCTATCTCTTTCTTGGAAAGCTGTTGAACCTGTTTTAAGGATCATTTAGAATTGAAATGTTTTTAGACTAAACAAATGTTTTTTTCCTCAAAGAAGATAAACCTAAATCCTAACAAAGGAAATGTGAAGTGGAAATACTGCCTAAAATAAATACTGAAGTTGAAAAACAATCTGATGCTGGAGAATTTCTCACTGTCAGCTAAATTGAGTCCAGGAACCGGAGCAAGTGATTGGGCTGGGCAATGTGGCCTTACCCCATTGGTAGCGTTTTCCCTTCCGCTCATGGACTGCAGCACCGCTTTATCCAGGCCGAGCTTCAAACTAGCCTTGTCGAACATCTCCCTCTCGTAAGAATTTCTTGTAATCAGCCTGTAGATTTTCACAGATTTGCTCTGTCCTATCCTATGACACCTTGCCTGAGCCTGGAAGAACAGGGAAATTAATGACGACCAAGGAAAGAAAGACTCAATTGTCAGCTGGAAGAGCATCTGTTCCATAAACAGAGGTGCGGTTTAGAAGAGGGTTAACATACAAAGAAATTACTTTTACATTATTAATAAATTGATTACTAGTTGGTTCATTTGCCCCAATCATGGGACACCATCTGAGTGACTACATGACTTTAATTTATTGGCTTGACGGGGATTCTCTGTCACAGTAGAATGACTTTTAAAAGGGGGGGGGACCCCAGCCGGGCGTGGCTCAACGGTTGAGCCTCGACCTAGGATCCAGGCGATCAGGGTTCGTTTCCCAGTCAGGGCACATGCCCGGGTTGCGGGCTAGCCAATCAATGACTCTCTCATCATTGATGTTTCTCTCTCTTTCCCTCTCCTTTCCTCTCTTTGAAATCAATAAAGATATATTTTAAAAAAATAAAATAAAATAAAATAAAATAAAATAAAATAAAATAAAATAAAATAAAATAAAATAAAATAAAATAAAATAATAAGGGGGGGGGGCATCGGGAAGATTCTCTTGCATGTTTACCTGGAGATCATTTTGGGGATTCCAGTCAGAATCAAAGATGATGCAGGTATCAGCAGCAGTAAGATTAATGCCTAGGCCTCCTGCCCGTGTACACAGGAGGAAAACAAACCTATCAGAATCAGGTTTGGAGAATCTGTCAATAGCTGCCTGGCGGAGGTTGCCTCTTACTCGGCCGTCGATCCTTTCGTAGGGGTACCTGGAAAATGTCAGCATGAACAATGAGGCCTGACAAAGAGCTACAATATACCTGTTCCTTTTTATTTTTAAGACAATAATACAATTTTGGTTATCTATTAACAGAATGGTATTATGGATCAGAAATAATTTCAGAGCAAACAGGTTTTGTTGCTTTTCACACAACTGGTTGACTGCCCAAAGATTACATTTTGTTTTACTTCCTCTCCATTGAAACATCTAAACTCTAAAAATAGCTGACACCTCCAACAGTAAAATAACAAACAATTTCAATTTTAGGTCAGAACTATTCTCTCCTGGTCAAATGAAAGAAACGGGAAACAAAATTGCCCACAAAATTATGCAGACCTACTGCAGTCACTGCACAGAATAACGGCCGTGTACATCTAGAACCTTTAAAGAGATGTGACACACTTCCCCGATTCTACCCCCTTTATCCTAGGGATCACTTCGAGGGGAACCACGTAGAGCCCTGTGAAAGGTCATTTTTATTTCCCTTTTTATTCTATGGTACCGTGGCCTCACCGTCTTTGAATGAGGTAGTCTTCCAGTATGTCCAAGCAGCGCACCATCTGGGAAAAGATAAGCACCCTGTGGCCACCAGCCTTCAGTTTTGGCAGCAGCTTGTCAATCAGCACTAGCTTGCCAGCAGCCTGGATCATCGCCTGGAGCTGAAAATCTGGAGAGTCTGCATTGTGTGTTTCTTTAAACTCTTCCAAAATTTTCTCTTCAGCACCTGCAGAGATTGGACAGCATAACATGAATACAGTAAAAGGTTTTTATTACTGAAAACAATGGACTAGCTTTCAAAACCCACCGCAAACCGTCGGAACCAGAACACCATTCTCGTGCTTACGAACACGAATCCACCCCTTCCTCAAAGTTCTGTCTGCACAAAACCGGGAAAGCACAGAAGGGATCAAAGTTTTAAGCACAACACACTTAGGCATTTGGAGGGGGAAAATCACATTTTTCAAAATACAAATGTTTGCTGATTGTAGAAACCGAATTTCAACAACAGACTGTCGGGCTAGAAGTGGCAGAAACAAGCCAAGGGCCAGATACCTACAGAAAATTTGGAACCTAAACTGCTGAAGAAATAAAGAACTGTTTACTAGCTGAGTATAAACACAAACAACAAAATCTGCTCTGAAAGGAAGAGCAAGGAGACAGGGAGTCCTAACAATTACAGGGTAAGGGCAGCCACTTGTATTTATAATTGTACAATAATACAGCCAAAAGGACTGCAACAAAAGGGAACTCATTTTTCAGGATCATTTTTAGGGATTTTTTTTTTTTTTTAACCCTCACCCAAGGATATTTTTTCCACTGCTTTTTTAGAGAGAGTGGAAGGGAGAGATGGAGGGGTGGAGAGAAAGGGAGAGCGAGAGAGAGAGAGAAACATTGATGAAAGACAGATACATCGATGGGTTACCTCCCGCACGAGCCCCAACCAGGCCGGGGTTTGGACCTGCAACACGGGTACGTGCCCTTGACCAGGATTTGAACCAGAGGCCCTTTGGTTCGTGGCCGATGCTCTAACCACTGAGCACGCTGGCCAGGGGTTAGGGATGTTAATTTTTGGCAGATAGCACACATCTTCTACGGCAAGCTCTAAATCTCCTTCCATATTCATTCTCACCTGGTAATTTCATAAGGGACAAATATTCTATCTTCAGTTATTCAAAGCTTGAAAAACTTTAGAAATAAAAAAAACCCCCTCTGTTTCGTGTAAGATGTCTATGCCTAACCCTCTTTTCATCACAGCCCCACAGAGATTTCTGCTTGTTCAAAGATTTGGGGGGCATCACAGAGAAGCCTCAAGAGAATGACATCTTTGTCAGGGCCTCCTTCCCTGACCCCAAACACAGGCTTATCCAGGAAACAGCAGGCTAAGCTTCCTTCAACTGCTTAGGTGGCTTAACTAGAATTACACAGCACCGCCCGGCCTCCTCCCATCTCTGAGGTTAATCAGGGCATGGCTGTCTGCTTAGCTCCTCTCCCCAAGGACTGGGATGCAGTCACCTAGCCTCTAGGAAATACAGACAAACAGATCCATCTAATGGGATTGGTTCCCAACCTTAAACCGTGTCAGAAACTTTAAAATACCCTTGTTACCACCGGTTTTAAACATGTGGACTGACTACTGTACACAAGAGGGGGATACACAAACCTCAAACGGATTGTAAACATTAGGTCAGGGAGGCCACCAGGCCACTCACACAGCGGGTCCTTTGGCAAGCAGCGGCCAGTGCAGCAAAGGGCCTCCTAGCTCCATTTTAAGGGCACTTGCAGAATTAAGTTATGACACGGTCATATGTACAAATAAAGCTTGCTAATCATTAATCGACAAAGAATCTTACTGAGAACAGATTAAAGTCACTTAACACCTTTCCAAAGCACTAAGGCCTCTGGAAAGCACTTTGCTATTTCTTTCGAAGGGGGACTGGCAGCAAATGCCAGTTTCTCACTCTCCTCTCCACAAGTAACAGGCTAACATGCAGGATTTTCCTCTAAGTGAAAAAAAGGGCAATGGTTTGACTAGAAAAATAGTAAAAACCAAAATGCTATTTAAGAGCATTTAGCAGGCAGGCTCTTGAATAGTTAATGTTTTTTGAAATGTAAAGTTTAGAAAGGTAGGTTCTACATTCAGGAGACAGCAGAAACAGATTTAAGTCCATATACTACATTAGGTGTTTTTAAAAAGTTTGTTCCTGTTGGACAATATATTATAAGCTCTTTGCAATTCAGGAAAAGAGAGATTTTACTCTTATGACATTTGGGTAGTTATATTATCCACATTAAGATTATAATCCATACTCAAAATAAAATACAGTGTTTTAGTTTAAAACAAGTTAATGGTCAATGAATAGATTTCAAAAATGAAATAATCAGTTTTGACAAAATAAATATCAGACATGTTTGGATTATTTTAGTAAAAAAGTTAAATATACATATATAATTCAGTCAAAATAATAAAGAAATTTATTATTTTTCATTTTAAATTGATGCAGAGATGAGAAAAATAACTTTTCTGCTTTTTCAATGCTACCAATAATTTCTCATCTTATAAAGAATAGTCAAAATTAAAATATGCTCCTTCTTACCTGACAAAAGCTACTTCTGAATTAATCAATTCAGATCTTTGTTATGAATTCTGGTTCTTGAGTGGCAGTCAGTTTACACTAATACTACTTCATTTTAAAACATCAAGCAAACATATTTCCTATGCGATTCCTTTAGCACTGAATTTATTATGGCCAGACTGAAGGGAAGGGTGTAGGAAAGGTGTTGGGGAAGAAAGCAATTTCTACCTTCTGATGTCATAGCCAAATTTTCAAGTTTATCGGTTAGATTTACCTTGAAGTTAACTGTAAATATCAATCAGAAAACGAACTGGAAATGGGTATAATAAGACAAAATACATAGTTTGTTGGCACCACCCTAAAGTACCACTCGTATTACTATTAAAAATGTGTGTATCAAAGACATTTTAAAAATAATGTGGAAATCACTGCAGTGTTATCTAGCTATATTAGCCAGAAACAAACATTATTTTCTTTTGAAGATTACCAGAAAAAAAAACAAGTTACTATTTTCTCTATCAAATTCATTCCATCATATAAGCTTCAGTCTTGTTTTCTTTCTGCTCACAATTCCCTACATTCCTCCTATACCCCCAACAACAACAGCAATTAACTCAAGTCACCCCTAACCATTAAGGGAACTTGACCACGTTTTCAACATTATTTTTACTGTCACATAGCAGATCTAAAATTAGACATTCCATTCTAATAAATCTTGAGCCGATAACAGTATCTCCATTTATGTTATCCTATTACCTGCTTAACCTTTAGCAAGAAAAACAACTAGTAACACTGAGTGTTTACAGTGCACCAAACACTGTTCTAACCCCATAAGCACTTAACATTAATGCACATTCAAAATATTTCTCATTTATACACAACCTGTGTGCTATCCATTACTTCCAATTTTTTTTCTGCTTTGCTTATGTTACCCCTTTCAACTTATGCACTTAATTGTTTCTGTTTCCCACATTTTCAGAAATGTTGTGCTATGTTGTACTGAACTTAAGTTTGATTAGGGCTGCTTTACTCTGCTACAACCTAGACAAATTTCAATTATACCTCCCAAGTTGAAACTTCCTTGACCTGTTCAATAAATGTGTTCCTTCCACTCCAGGTTGTGGATGACACCGGCCAGTACTGGCCCTGGAGCCACCCCTGTGAAACACGAGGTCTACAGAAGTTACCTGGGAAGTTGTAACCCCTCATGTGTATGGGTATTTTTTTACTACAGTTTCCCAACATAAAGGCATGTAAGTATACCTGCTTAACACACACTTCATAACTTGTTGTAAGGACAGAAAAGCTGAGCACGAGGTGTGACCAATTAGAACTGTCAAAGAGCCAAGCCTTAGAAGTCCTAAGAGCCTCCTGGCAAACAATAAATGATACAGGATGGCCCTGGAGAGAAATCAGCTATGGAAAAGACCCACCAGCTGTGTTTTGGGGAAACTCCCCTGTCTCAATGCTCAATGCATGTAATTAGCATGTAACCAAACAAGGTAAACTCAATGGAACTGGGAGTGGATACCTGACAACCATCACTGAGATCATCCCTTCCACACACATCCTGCTGGCAGCATCTAATCTCTTTTGTGAGTGCCTTTTCTTTCCCCTTGGAGGCTACTTTCCCTCATTTTCTTTCCACCAGATAGTAAATGCAAAAGTGTGTGTGTGTGTGTGTGTGTGTGTGGCTTTACTCACACCATCAACTGCCCTGAACCCCAACTTCATCTCCCCAACTCAGGAACAGGCTGGCTGACACGCACCATGAATGGCCTTACAGGCTCTCAACCACACGGTGATTAGCAGGTTGGCAGCATTAAACATATAATTACCACACATGATACTCTCTTTAAGAGAAAAAGCTAAAAGCACAAAGTCTGAAAAGGAAATTCACTGATGTGACACCACAGCAATGGCCTAGGGTGCTCCGCTGAGACTGTCTCCCAGGTGTGGACCATCTGTCATTTAGTAACAGGAACTTCTGGATCTGTGGTCTGACAGTAAGTTACGGAAGAAAAAAGAATTAGGAACTCTTTAAGTTAGGGGCCCTTGAACCCCGCGCGTTGTGGTAAAGACAAAATCAGGCTTGCCCCCTCTCCTGTGGAAAGGAACCAATTTGTATTGCTGGCCAATTGTAGTTGAGCACAAGCACCCCAATTTAGTGGGTCGTCACCTTTCCTCACCCCGTATTAACTCCGGCCTGGACTACAGCACCAGCCTCCTAGCTGGTCGTTCTGTCTGTCTTTCCCAACTCCCATCTGTCTTATACGACGCTGCCGGATCCATCATCCTGGATCACATTTCCACTCGTTGGTTCTCACTGCCTACAGCCTGAAGACAAAGTTCCACACCTAGCACGTGAGGCCCTCCACAGCAGGGCCCCACACGTCTGGGTCCACCGCCGCACTTCTTGCATGTACTTTACAGACTGTTTTCCTGACCCCTTTTCTTTGCTCATGTTATTACATCAGCACAGTGCTCTTCCTGGTCCCAACTCTGACTGACTGCAGCCTTCCCAGCCCCGCGGGCTTAACTCCATGCCACCACTTTCTAACAGCTTTCCTTATCTCAGTCCCTGACAAACGGAAGGTATTGTACTTTCCAGAGTATCTGCCACGTCATAGGCATGAAATGCTTACTCCTTTAATAACTTTTGTAAGTATATATAGAATACAGGTTTTTGCTCATATCGGTTACATAACACTATCAATTTAGGTGAGGAAGCAAGAAGAGCATAAAGTATTCATTAGCAACAAGAACAAACCATTGTCAAAGCCATAAAATGATCTTTCATTCTTAGGGAACAGGTGCTAGAGGCCTCCAGACTGAAATTTTCTCCTGTCGAAGTCTTGAGACAGCGAATAGCTGCCTTTTCACACCAAAGCTCTTCTATGCTATAACTTCTCTGATTTAAACACACACCCCCCGAAACACACACACACTGAGCAAGAAAATCTCAATCAGGGGCTAATTTTTCTTGAACTGTTAACAGTTTTGATGGTTTTCTTTTTTTTGCCATGGAGCACTAACACCTCCTCTCAACGAGTGAGACAGATGTAGGGATGCAAGAGGAAGGTGAGGTGAGATCCTGCTTTGGGGACCAGCAGGAGCAATAGTCCTCTGCCCTCGGACACCACAGAAGGAGGCATCATCGCTGAGAGCGGGAAGGTGGTGAGAGCCACACAGAGGTGACAGGACACAGCTGCGACTGTGAACCATTAAAACCCTCAGTGCGGAGGGAGAAAAGGATTTCTGGTGCTTGGGCCGTCAATAAGAAGTCTGCAAATAGCCAGGCTCACCATTAATAAGGTAGGGATGATTGCAGCACTTGCGTAATTCCATCATAGTGTTTAAAAGGTTGGGCACGTTAGCTTGACCGCCACCTTTGGAAAGAAATGTGAAATTCTTCTCCAGGATGGCGCGGTAATACTTCTTCTGAATGTTGGTCAGCTCAACTTCAATAATAGTTTCTTCTTTGGGGGCCAGGTTCTTTTCCACATCCTCCTTGAGGCGTCTCAGCATCATTGGCTTGAGAATAGCCTGGAGCTTTTGCACCTGAAAAAGGACCTTACGTAAATACCGGTGCCACGACGTGCTTGCATGACACAACATACGCCACATGGGAAACCAGGATTAGTATCCTGTTTACCGTTCACTTTCATTTGTCAAAGCCCAATAAGGGGATGGATGGAAGGAGACTTGACTCGGGGTGGTAAACACACAATACACAGGTGATGTGTTATAGAATCGTACACCTGAAACCTGTGTAACTTCATTAACCAATGTCACCCCAATAAATTCAATTAAAAAAAAAAAAAAAGGCCGGTAAGGGTATGAAGGCAAGAAACGTTCAGCTTTCATAACGGAAGTGCGTGAAGGTTGACCGATCCGATTTCAAAGGGACCATTTCGCCTGTCCAGCAGTCCTGAACAACCAGAAGGCTTGAGAGGTACACGGCAAAAAAGAACCAAATTTATTCGTTTCTCTTTCCCTTCTGTTTGTCTCACAGGGATGATCAGGAAGAGGGGAGAGACCGTGTCAGGGGAGGCCTCTGCTTCAGTTCTCTTGCTCTCGAGAAAGAGCACGGAAGCCAGGAGTTACCCAGTCCCTGCAAGCAGAGATGTCTCTCTCCAGTTCTCTTCTCTGTTGACTGGCAATAGGATAGAGCACACCAGACAGTTTTTAAGAAGAGCAAAACAAAAGACGGACTGCACTTTGAACTAAACGGAGAGGTTAAGATTAGACCTTAAAACTCCAGGAGGCAAACAGCTCTACAAATTTCAGTGGCTTCTGACACTATCCCCAAAGGTATACAAAGTTCAAAAGTATACCTAGCAAAACCACCCACCTGAATAGCACAGCAGTCTCTGAAAATCACATGAACAGGTACATAACCTCTACAAATCAACAGCCCTTCATGAGGGCAAATGGACAAACAAAATAACAAGAAAACCTCTGTCATGAAGACTTGGAATGCCCGAGGAAAGGAGCTGTAAAGCTCACTCATCTA